CTAGAATCTGACCACAGTCAGACTCCAAAGTCCAAGCTTTCTTCTTTATCCAGATAATACTAAGGAATTTTTAATTAGACCCACATGGATCTGTACAGTTTTTACTGGTCAGTGGGAAATATGAAAAATAATAACCACATGGAGAGTTCTTCATAAAGCTAAATTTATTTGATTTAAAGGACTGTCCTTTAAAACTGTGTTCTAGATAACTTTTTAGTGTAAAAATGGCTCTTCCTACAGGGCATTATGGTGGTAATATCTGGTGGCAGTTGTGGGGAAAGGACCTGACTAAGTTGAACCCTCTTAAATCACTGACATTTGACCATTTCTTGACTCATAAAATAGCAAATTCATATGCTCCAACCTAATATTTCTATGCTTTCAATTACTTGCCCCCCACAGAAGGTAACTCTGTAACCTCAAAATTCTTTTGAAAAATTTCTGATCTGTGAAATCCCAAAGTCTAAGAAAAATCTACTTTGCTTCATAGCAAAGTAGAAAGCCCTTGAAATTAGGAATACTTTGCAAATGATTCAATGGAAGCATTCAATGGACGACAAAGAGAGATTAGTAAAAGCTGGCTGCAGTTTTAAACCTGGATAACTGGGAGGTTGATGTTGTCACTAATTTAAAAAAAAAAAGGAACAGCATAAGAAAGAAACAGACTTATGGGAGAATGTAGTGAGTTCAGTGTGGAATTTTAAAGAGATAATATGCCACCTGTATCAGGTTCAGTTTATCAATTTTGACTGCTGTGCTTGATTAAAAATTGTTCCTAAGTGCTTTTGAAGTACTGGCATCCAAGATCGGAAAAAAATAGTTTAATATGTGTTTCTGATGATTATAGGCTTCTTCTTAAGTCTTCTATATCTAGGCTGGAATTCTCAAGTGTAATACCCTGCTCATTTTTAAAGCAAGATCTTGAACTATAAGAACTGCAGGATTTCTAGTTTGGCTCTGGAAGCCGAAGCCACTGTGTGAACACTGTTCTGTTTCAGATCCAGTATTTCAGATCCAGTATGAAAATAGCATCTATAGCAGGAGTGTAGCGTTCCCTATAGGAGAATTTCTCTGAGTCAGCATCAGCCTCTCTTTTGTGACAGTATGCAAATTGCCAATGGCAGAGTTCAAATGCATTCACAAATGTGGCATTTTTCACAGCTCATCGTACTTTATGTCTTGTATTTCTGAAAAATCACTTGAGATTTGCCTGCATGATAAATTTCCCTTTCCTAGTAATAAAAAAAGACTATATCTGCAGTCAAGTCTACTTCTTGTGCAAAAGTCACAAGAGAAAATCTTTGGTCTTTTCATTCCATTCTCTTCCCCTCTGGCATTGTAATGAAGATAATACAGAGATGTGAAGTAACCTCACAAACTCAAAGGCTGTAGAGATGGAGACACACATTTTTAACACAGATTCACGTCTTGGACATCTGCTAGCTTTCTTTCACTCCCATCCGATTTAATGGCCTGCTGTGGAGACTTGTTATTCCACTTCGAATTTCATCTTGCCAGAAAGGAAGCTATTGCTTACCAGATATTTCTAAATTGAGAAAGTAATCTTTTTTATTTTTTTAAAGATTTTTTTCTTTGATGTGGACCATTTTTAAAGTCTTTATTGAATTTGTTACAGTACTGCTTCTGTTTGATTTTCTTTGTTTATTTGTTTGTTTTTTTGGCCTCGGCATGTGGGAGCCTGAAAAGCTACAGTCCACAGGGTTGCACAGAGTTGGACACGACTGAAGCGACTTAGCATGCACACATGCTTGTAGAATCTTAGCTCCCTGACCAGGGATCGAACCTGCACCCCTTGCATTGGAAGGCAAAGTCTTAGTCTCTGGACCACCAGGAAAGTCCTGAGAAAGTAATCTTATAATCATAATTATTTAGCAAGCATGAGGGGCTCAGAGAAGCTCTCAGTTGTGACAGCCCAGAGCCCTGAACTCATACTTTCTTTCCTGTGACTGGTGCTCCATCATCTGAATCCCAGAGTGTCTCAGAAGTGTAGTGGTGTTTCTTGTAAAGTTTTCATTTCTCTGTGCATGCATGCTCAGTTACATCAGTCGTGTCTAAGTCTTTGCAATCCTATAGACTATGGCCAGCCAAGCTCCTCTTGTCCTTGGGATTCTCCAGGCAAGAATACTGGAGTGGGTTGTCATTTCCTCCTCCAAGTTATCTTCCCAACCTAGGGACTGAGCTTGTGTCTCCTGTGTCTCCTGCATTGCAGGCGGATTGTTTACCCACTGAGCCACCTCTGGGGAAGCCTTATTAGCAGACATAATTTTAAGATCCTATAACCTAAAACCTATGTTGATTATCTTATTTTTCAAAGAAAGAGTCAATAAGCAAGTTTGTATTGAAGTCCTGTTATATCCCCAGCACTGTGAGAGCCACAGGGCATATCACAGTGAGCAGGACACAAAGATCTTCCCTTCAGAGCTTTCAGAATTTCTGAGAATGATGGCAGCTAATGCTGTCACTGCATTTACTATGTGCTCTAAAAGGCATCATTCTAAGTGCATGAATTCGTGTTTCATATTAGGTGAATCCTCTTCCTATCCCCAGTTTATAGATCAGGAAACTGAGGCTCAGAGACACACAACTAATAAGTATCACAGGCAGGATCTGAATCTGACTTTAAGTAACTTAGTGTTGGTGTATACTATTGAAGGGGGAATTAAGGTGCTGTGGGACCTTTGGCTAATGTGATTTCACTTGATCAGGTGATTAGATGAGTGAGTAGGAATTAGGGTGGGACTGATCTAGGCAGAACTTGTCTCTTTAGTCTGTTGTTTTATGCTCAGTTCACTTCATCTTCATTTAGCTACCTTATTGGCTACAGGTTGTTTTTGCATAACTGAAAGCAGGGACAGTTGGAACCAGAGGCCTGGTGCTGACAGAGGTGATTCTGTACATTTGTCTGGCTCTTCTCAGCTTCAGACCTGTTTGCTCAGCACTGTGGGACCACAACTGTTCCCAGCACCTAACCCTCTCTGCTAGAAAGGGGCTGACTCTCTGCCTTTGGGTTCACTTTTGTTCTTGTGTGGCTTGAGTGTCCACACTTGGACCAGTCATGTGGCCAGACAGACAGGCTTGTTGAATAGCCACCTTGGGGACAGAAATCAACCAGTTTTGGTGACTGTAAGCTGAACATCAGTCCCATTATTCTCTATCATTCAGGATGTTCCCAGTGTTGCTTTTCATGTCTACCCTCCGAAGCTCCTGCTCTAGATCAGAGTGATTTACCTGGCCCACCAAGCATTTTGTTTTAGGAACTCATTGGCTGTGCTGAATGTGTCATATCGGTTGTTTCATGAAGATCTTTCTGCTCTCCTTCCTCAGTTTTCTTACTTAGAGGTCGCCTGTGCAAAGTCAACACCTTAGAATGTCCCAGAGCCTCATCTTTGAAGGCACTAAGATCTCCCTTGGTGCTGTAGTTGGGAAATTAGTGGTGGTGGTGGTGGTTTAGTTGCTAAGTTGTGTCTGATTCTTGTGACCCCATGGACTGTAGCCTGCCAGGCTCCTCTGTCCATGGGATTCTCCAGGCAAGAACACTGGAGAGGGTTGCCATTTCCTTCTCCAGGGGAATTAATAAGTTCTAAATTTATATGTAAACATGAAGGAAGGTGACTCACCTGAGGTCAGTGTAGTGGCTAGTGCCAAGAGTTTTGTTTATCATGCCCAGGCTCACAGTAAGCAGGCATGGCTCGTTCTGACTTGTTAACTCTAAAATGGATCCTCTATGTTGAGGCTGACTCCTGGGAGTCTTGTGTGAGTTGCTGGGGGGAGGTGAGCCCTTTCCCTGCCCCTGTGGTTTACCCCTTGGTTAAGGTAGGGACTCTGGAGCAAGATGTGTCTGCGTTCAGTTCTGACTCAGTGTATACTTTAGATTCTTAGTACTTCAGCTATGAAATGAGGAGCTAGGGTCACAAACTCCTAACACTCTACTCTACAAGCCTCACCTTTCTTCTCATCTTGAGATAGCTTAACTACCTGCCCACTGTGTACTAGACCTCTCCACCTGCGTGTCTCTCAGACATTTACCAAGGCTAGAAAAACCCATGGGTGGCGCAGTGGTAAAGATTGTGCCTGCCAGTGCAGGAGACGTGAGAGACGCAGGTTCAATCCCTGGATCGGGAAGATACCCTGGAGGGGGAAATGACAACCCACTCCTGTATTCTTGCCTGGAAAACCCCATGAACAGAGGCGCCTGGCGGCTACAGTCCATGGGGTCACAAAGAGTCAGACATGACTTAGCACGCACATTGCTGTTGTTAGAGAAACCCATCCTTTCTCCTGTCCAAACCAGTCTCTCTCCATGTTCCCTGCTTGACCAAACAAAATGCATGAGTTCATGCCTTTGAGTAAACCACCATATAATAATTTCCTCTGTAAATTGTCTGTAAAAAAAGGATGAGGTATGGTGGGAGCAGAGATAAACATTCTTCTTAGTTTATCGCTATTATCATTTATTTCGATTAACTGTACTTTACACATCACTTTCACATATGTTTTGATACTTTGCATCTCTCCCAGGTCTGAAGTCCACATTTCTCCATGGAGCTCTGACTACATATCTTTTATCTCCCAGTGTCTTTAATGAGTGTGCTTTTTTGCCTTCAATCGGATATCTTAAGGGAAAAGAAATTCTAATATCAGGACTGGAAACTTGAAAGGATTTAGCACTCAGTATAAATATAGATATGGGGATTACTGGCATGACAGCAGAAGAAAAACCTCTGGCTGAAATGACCATAAGAAGATATCTGATAGGCTTAAAGGCTGACAGATCTGAAAGAACCAAAAAAAGTATCCGGAAATGACAAGCTGCATTCATTTCTGAGAGTTATTACAGGTGGTTGAATAAAACTTTTTAGCCTGGTGTGTCATTTTTGGTAGTAGCTTGAAGCCCCATTAAATGGTGCCTCACTGCTGAAGTTGGAGAAGGCAGTTGACCCCTGTAATGCTGATAACTGGGTTTATCTTTTATGTTTCAGGAAGACATCTCCCAGGTGGTTGGTCAAGGTGTGGTGGCAGGTCAGCAAAAGGCACTGGAATGTCCAGCTGACAATGTATGTAACTGACCCTGTAGGTTGCTCTACTGGGATGGTATGAATTATAATGATGGGTTCCAGAAGAAAACGAGATGGTTATAATGAAATCTAATCCTTTATTACTTGGCAGGAAGCTATGATGTGTCTTCCAACCTGATGACAACCCACAGCTATATCACCTGTTCTATGCAGGGTGTGCATACAGGATATTTGGGGAAATATCCTCTGTTGTGTCCCTGTACCAACACCCTAAGGAAGTGTTTGAAAGTGAGACATCTCTGAAAACACACTTACACCTAAATTCTGAGGGCCTTGTAATGTCCTACATTATGTCATGAATAAAAATTTTAAGAGGAAGAATTTATAATTTTGTAGAAATAGAAATGTAATAACAAGTGTTTCTTGTATTTATAGCTTTTCTTCTTAAAAAATATAAATTTCTGTCAAACATTTGTACTTTTGTCACTGTAGAACTTTTTTGTGCTGCTAAAACTTACATTATTAAAAAAAAACTTACATTATTATTATATTAACTAGTTTTATGACAGGAAATATATGATATTTCAAACATTACCAAAGAAGATGCCTTTGTAAAGTATCCAAAATTGTATGCTAAAAACCTAAATAAAAACAAATAGGTGTAGAAAGAATCTTAAAAATAAGATTCAACTGAAAAAAAATTCACTTCAACTGAAAACTGTAAGGAATTAAAAAAAAAATTAGAACCAGATTTTTTAAACTTAGGTAATGTATTTGCAAATACAATTAATGTGATAGTACTTTCCACACTGCCACCTGTCTCAAGACACATGTCAAGCATCAATAGAAATAAAATTAATCGTAAACTTAATAATATTTTTTAAAAAATCCTGGAGCATTATAAGAACACTGTGATAATAAAATGTACATCTTTCAATTTTAAGAGTATCTGCCAGTTACATAGTGTCTTAGAAAAAGAGAAAGGCAGTGATTAGGATGAAATTTTCTAATTTTCTGTGGGTTCTTTTGACATTTGTAGGAGTCTTTAAGATAAAAATTAAAAAAAAAAAAAATCCTCTCCAAAAAAAAAAAAAAATTATAACCCATAGAATTTTAAAACTCAGGTGAATCCTATACATCCTCTGACCTTTCTTTTCCCTGTTGAAAAATGAGCACTTAAATATCTAAAACATTCTCCTTTGGGAAAGTGATGATAACTCTTTTCTGTGGCTGCAGAAGAGAAACGGCTCAGAGATCAGTGGGCAACATCTTCAGTGAAGCTGTGTCAGCTCATCATAAAGAACTTCCCCACCATGTGAGCTGCTCCACAATGGAATGAGAGTCCTTGTGGAAATGGAACTTTTTATCCCTGAAGGTTTTCAATCAGAAACTTGCTGATCATTTATTAATATGTTTTCAAAGGACATAAAAACAGTAATAGCTTTTGTTAACTGAACTCCTAAGTTGTTCTGGAAATAGTGATAGGTTTATTTATATACTTTTCAATCTTCACAACAACCTTGCAAGGTAAAAAGTTATCACCACCAATTTAAAGATGAGGACATGTAGGACGTTGAGTGGCTTGTCAGGGGTCACCCAGCTAATTAGTGATAGAAAACTCAGCAATTTGTATCATTTTTTGAGTAGTGATTTTTTTTCCCCCTATCATGAAGATCTGATGAAGTATAGACCCTTTTCCCAAGAAAAGCACTGGTAAGTATAACTTTGCTACAAACACAGAGGTTATGTAGTTCCCAGAATTCCCTCTGAAAATCATTTAGAAGCTCATTTATCCTGGGTTAAGAATCCATGATTTACCTTTAAAAAATAAATCTCAACTTAAAAAGACAATCATCCCCACCCCTACTTCTAAAAACATTTTTCTGAGCTCCACATCCCTAGTGCCAATTTCTTTAGTCTAGAATAGGACTTCTAGCATTCATAAATGTTAAACTCCCTAACAGTTTCTGTTTATATAAAGACAGGGTTGAGAACCCCTGGTTTAGTTAATTTGGATGACTTGTAAAATCCATTCAAACTCTGATGTTAGAATATAGTAACACTCAACAGCAAATGCAATCTTTCATCTTTTAAAATATTTTTATGTAATTTTAAAATACTCGAATTTTACAGTCTACAAATCCAGTCTTTATCTTTCAATACTTAGTAGTTTGGTTTTATGTCAATGGATGAATCATGGGAGCTACCTTCATTCATCACCACACCTACCAACAATAAGCTTCTCAATATATGTGTTTGTTTCACTTGATTTCTATGAACTATTTCCTCATTTTTCCAACCTATATTGATTGGAAACTTTCCTAGTATGCACAGTGAAATGGGATGCTACATGAACTGAGAAATAAAGATGAGAAACAAGCATTCCCTGTTGTTATAAAAGTCATAAGGTAGTGATGCCTGTCTCTTGTGCTTTCCTGTTTTAAAATTCACAGCTTTTCATAAAAGAGCTCTGTAGCCTGCGCATAGCTTTGTTATCAATTTTCTTTTTTGAGATGATACAAAGGAGAGGTGACATAAGTTCTGTGTGTATTAAGGTTACTTTCAGTTGCTGCAAGAAGTTTCTGTTTTACATAACAGGGTGGCTGTGATCAGTTTGAGGATGACAGTGTCTCCACGGTGTCATGGACCCAAGCACCTCTTATCTGATTACTGCATCATTATTTGATTACTCTTCCATCTTCAAAATTTAGCATCTTTTTTTTTTTTTAATCTAAGATTGCTGCTTCAGTTGTTAACATTACATCTGAATTTCATCTAAGGCAGGGGAAGGCAGGATTGTTCTTAAGAAAGTGACCTGAAAATTGTACATTCATGTTTGTTTACGTGCCATACCATAACACAGACTAGTCTGTGGTTATGTCTGGCCTCAAGGAGGTTGGGGAGTATGGTCCTTAGAATACTTGGATTGGTGGGTCCACTGTTCAGTTTTCTCGTGGTAACTCCTGGTTTGTCATTTGTCTACTTTCCTCTTTTTAAAATCACCGAAAATATATATTCAAGAAAGTCTTTTTAAATAAGTGTACAATCATTGTTAAATGATGTTAATAGAAAAACTGCAGAGGAAAAAAAAATGAATATCAGTAGAATCATTGCCTAGCAGCTGTTTGATAAACACTTTAAACTTGTAGCATTCTTGAAATATCAACTTTTAGTCCTACTCCTTCCTTTAATTAACTGTGTGATTTCAGATGTCACTTGACATTTGTGTCTTGGTTTCTTCATCTATAAAAGAGAGTAATATTGTCTAATTCTCCAGGTTATTCTCATGATTAAATGAATTCATGGATATGAAAGTGTTTTTGAAAACTGGCAAGCACAATACAGATATACAATGAATGGTATTGCTTTTCTTTTTGCATACTGCACAATGCCTTGTATTGAAGCATAGACTTCCACTGATGGAATCTTGGGGTGTGGTTGTTCTGGAGCAGTTACCATGATCCTATTTCTAGACTCCAGGGACAGGCTGGTGCTTCACTGCCTCCACCAGAATCTTCCAGCTGGGGATGGGTTCCCTGGCTAACTACAGATCCAGAAGGCAGGTCAGGTTACTCTGTATATTTCTTAACTGTCTGTTAAGCAAGCATGGAGTCCTTTTGGTTTTTCTTAGTTTTCTAATACTAATATTCATTAGAGGTATTAGCAACAAAAATTTAGAATTACAAGTTCATTTTTCAAAGCTCACACAGCAAAGATCTCTGTGCTTTCATTGAGTTACAGATTTATTTCCCACTGAGTTTCCATGTCTTCAATTATGCTCTCTGCATTCATTCATTCATTCAGCACTTATCCAGGCCCTACTATGTTCCAGGCACTGGGAATCGAAAGTGAATAAGCTTTTTTTTTTTTTTTTTTAAGGTGAATGAAGTGTAATGATGTACCTGGCACTTAGTAGGCTTTCAGTAGATGCTTGTTATCCCTTCCTGCCCCTCCTGTCAACTAACCTACCTCATGCATCTTTGACCATGTGAATGTGTCCGGAAGAGATGGGCAGTGTCTTGTACTCAGAACATTCACAGTATAGATTGTTTTTCACTAGGCTCAGCACAAATCTATAAACTTGACATTGATTTCATCATGTAAAAATGCTTCCCAGCTCTGGCTTCATACATAAACCACAATGATGGTTTCTGTCCTTCTTCCCTTCTTTGATCCATCTTCACCAAAGCACTTTAAAATTAATTAAGGAAGCATGGGAATGAGACAAAGAGCATCCTAACTTCCCCTTGCTGCCTCTCCAACTTGAGTTTTCAAGAGGCGTTATTGGAGTGTTTTGGTGACAATTTTAAAGTCTTCTCCATTGTTACCTTCCTCTTCTCTGACATTCATCTAACTTTCCTTCCTTTTGTAGGCCGGCAGCCAGATGAAACAGCAAAAATACTCAATGAAAATCTCCTTCAGTTCACAAGAGATACCTTTAGCACCAACTTCATATCATTCAACAGATGCAGACTTCACAGGCTATGGTATGAGTCTTTCTCTGAGCAGACTTGAATTGATTCATCAAACCTTAGAAAAGGAAAGGATTGTGTTGTCCTGAAGAGAGCACTGGATCAGGAGTCAGGAAGCCTGGCTGGCATCCTTGCTCTACTTCCTGAGCTTTGGGACTTGGATTGGTTAATTGATTTCCAACATCTTTTTCCTCATCTCCATCAGTGGGATTGCTTATTGAATATAAAAGTACTAGAATAAAAAAGTCCCTCAATATATTCTACTTGAATCTGAGGCTTCTGGATTATTATCTAATCACACCAAAGGTAGTTCACAAGTAGTGTATCTTAAAAATCACATTGAACCAAATTATAGATTTGCATGTATTGATATGAACTATTTATAGACTGTTACTTTTCAGTGCTTAAAGAAATAAGTATTTACTTTATCTCTGAATTGCTGGATTAGATTATGCTGACTAATGGTTGACAATAGAACTTCAAAATGAATAATGAATATTTCCATCTGCTTTTATGCAATATAAATCATTTTTAAAAGAGGGACTATTTAAAACACCTTGCTCACCAGTGGTAAAACATGACCCTGCATGAATTTAGGAGACCTGACACCTTTATGGTATTTGCCTTTTACGTATTTTTTTTCATAAATATTAACTCTTAAAAATTTTATGAGGCAGATATTATTCTAAAGCACTAGATTCTTACTAAAATACTTGATGAATGTGGTCAGCAAACTATGACCCCTAGGTCACAGTTGGCACACCATCTGTTTTTATATGGTCTAGAAGCTAATAAGGGTTTTCACATTTTTAAAAGGTTAGAAAAAAAAAAAATCAAAAGACTGTTTCATGAAAATTGTATCTCAGTGTCCATAAATAACATTTTATGGGAATACTGGTTTGTTTACATATTGTCTATGGCTGCTTTCACACTATAAGGAGAGACTTGAGTAGCTGCACCAGAGCTGGTACGGCATATAAAGCCTCAGATATTTGCCACCTCGCCTTTTACCAAAGATGTGTGATGACCCCGACGTAGACCAATGGAATCTTGATAATACATATCCCATATTTTTTACCTCGTTAACAGAAGTTAATCATCCCACAATTTAATCTGTGGAAATTATATTCATTCAGCCATCCACTTACCAAACATTGACTGGGGACTTGGTAGGAATCAGGCCTTGGGCTGGATTCTTTGAGAGAAATAAACACCATGACTGACTTACAACTGGGCTAGGGTGAGGCAGAATCAGAAGAGGGAAAGAAATGCCACCTCCAGTGTCTCTGACTGTGTTTTCCCTCAGTCAAGAGACTAAGCTAGTGATTTATGTAAGGAGCATAAACTTTTTAAAGCATTCGTGAAACTCTACTGCCATGGTACATTGTTTTTATTGTAAATTAGTGAAAAATGTAGCATAAAATACATATGTTGTAAAAATATCTAGAGTCAAATTAGGTTTACAATTTAATATTCATTTAATATGGCATTTTTAAATTGTTACTAAGACTATGTCACTAAATTTCTCACTGTTAAACAAGAGGCCATTAGATCTATAAATTCCATGTGGTCAGGCAGGAATGGCATCTATGTGAATGCTACACTATGCCTGACCCTGGGTTGAGCCAGCACATTATTTATTTGATCCCTTAAACACCCTCTTAGGTAGCAATTACATACATTTTCTGATGACCAATGAGCCTCAATTTCATCCACTGTTCATTTCCTTAATTTCCTTGGAAACTCAAATCCATTTCTGCAACATCTGGAAACCTGTGTCCTTTTGTCTCAAAGGCAATGATTATTGCTGGGTCAGAGCAGAACCCCTACAGGCTTACCTGAGCCTGTTTTTTAGGAAGGATTGGCAAACATTCTGTAAGGAGTCAGGCAGTAAATATGAGGCTTGTGGGCCATGTGGTCTCTCTTGCAGCTACTCAAATCTGCCATTAGCAGCTATAGACTGGATATAAATGAATTAGTAGAGCTGTATTCCAATAAAACTTTATTTACAGATTTTAAAATTTAAATTTCTATACTTTTCACATGTGTTGAAATGTTATTTTTCTTTTGACTTTTTTTTTTTTTAACCTTTTGAAGTAGAAGCTATTCTTGGTGCTGGGGCCATAGTCTACTGGCCTTTGCTTATACAGAGGTTTGTGGGTGTCAGCTTGGCCACTGTGCATTAGCTGCAGCTGACCAGCAGGTGGGGCCCTTTAGTATCAGTCCTTTAGCAAATTCTGTCTCGAGGTAAGCATCCTTGTTGCTCAGTGGTAAAGAATCCACCTGCCAATGCAGGAGACGTGGGTTCAAACTCTGGGTTGGGAAAATGCCCTGGAGAAGGAAATGGCAACCCACTCCAATATTCTTTCCTGGGAAATCCCATGGACAGAGGAGCCTGGCGGGGTACAGTCCATGGGGTTGCAGGAGACTCAGACACAACTTAGTGACTAAACGGCAACAAGAATCAGTATTCACAATGATCAAAATTAGTTATCAAAAAATATGAAGTTCTCTAGAAACTATTATAAGATTCTCTTGAAACTGTCATTTTGAATGTTTGGATTTTTCAAACATTTCAAAAAATGTTTGAGTGACTTTTGACTGAAAATGGACATGTGTTAATATTTTTTCTTCCAGTTTTTAGAAAACCTGGCCTAAAACAATGAGTTTTAAAAGTAAAACAGCAATAACTCTTTTAACAAGCTTTTCATTTATGGACACAGCAATTAATTCTACAGTTTATAACACAATTTTTTTTTTACTACGTTTCTATTTGAGGATTATTTTCATTTGTCATACTTTATTGATTGGATCCTTTATACATCTTAATTCATATTATATGCTCTAACAAAGTATTTAAGTACTACTTCTAGTATTTTATAACTATAGCTCAAAATGTATATCATATATATCATTATTAATATATATAATTATGGCATATACCTACATGTGCTTAATTATTTAATCAACTTAAATTTTTCCATCCCAGTTTTCATGGTATATTTTGAGATTTAAAAAATTTCAAGTACTGTGTAACTAAAGTGGTTGATGGTTTGGGTTGGTGGTAGCTGTTGTCTTCATCTCAAAAGTGTCATAGGAATGTCATGTTTCATCCATGGCTGAGTGGGGAGTGGTGACCCAGTGTTTCCCTTCATGGTACTTGGCAGAAAAAGAGTGAAATGATAAACACGTACAAACCCTGCACTCCCCGAGCAGTGGAGTGTACAAGCTGAGATGCATCTCCTGCTTGCCAGTCATTCTGTGTTCAATTCTTCTCCAGGTGGGTTCCAGGCTCCTCTGTCAGTGGACCCCGCCACATGTCCCATCATTCCTGGCCAGGAAATGATTATAGAAATATCCAAAGGGCGTTCGGGGCTTGGTCTCAGCATTGTGGGAGGAAAAGACACACCCTTGGTAAGTTTCTAGAAAAACAATATATCCACTGGCATAGAGTTAGATACGGAGCCTTACTATGGCCTCGTGTCACTTCTATGAAAGACTTGGCTTTTTCTTGGCATGTAAGTTTATGAACTACTGCTATTATGATCATTATAATCATTACTATTTAGCGAACTGATTCATAGTTATTCCAATCCCAAAATTTAGGCTTGGCTTTATTTTGACCATGTTCACATCTACTCATAATTTTTTTAAAAATTGGCCTCGAATGTCAGTTTTTACTTACATGATGGATCTTTTGTTAGTCAGTACATTCGATTGTCACTAATCAATAGAGTCATTGAAATGTAAAACTCCTTGGGATTTGATTAATCAGTGCATATTATTTGAATAAGTAATACATGCACATTATACAAAATTATATTGACACAGAAGGATATAAATTGAAAGATAAATCTGTCTCCTACCCTTGTTCCCTTGCCTTGCCTTCAACCCCAACCCCAGCCAGGGCCTCTCCCTAGAGAAAATCACTCTTATTAATGAATATGCTTTTAAATGAACATTTTGGTATTTCTTTTGTCCATTTTATTTGGCAAGAAGTAAGTTGTATATGGGTTTCCCAGGTGACTCAGTGGTAAAGAGTCCACCTGTGTGTGCAGGAGTCACAGGAGACCCGGGTTCGAGCCCTGGGTTGGGAAGATCTCCTGGAGGAGGAAATGGCGACCCACACCAGTATTCTTACCTGGAGAATCCCATGGACAGAGGAGCCTGGTGGGCTACAGTCCATGGCATTGCAGAGTCGGACACAACCCAGCACACACACCGCAAGTTGTATATGCAGATTTACAGATAGAACAAGTATAATATCAATAAAATTATTCTTTCCATTTTTGACAGGAATGTAATATTTCTGTGTTTAGTACTGTTGGGGGGGGGGGTGAGGAGAGATCCTGCCCTATTTTCCTGTAATGAGTATCAGTTCCCTAAGGCACTGGGCAACGCAAGAACAACATATATTGTAAAAACCAGAGTCTTACTGCCTTCTGTGTGTTCCTGGTCATGCTCCTACTCTCTCAGGCCTCATCTAGAGAGCCCTAGTCGTTCATTTGACCCTACTAGGGAGCCACCTGAACCTCTGTGCACAGAGGCTGGTGTTTATTTATTAAAGGACTTTATTTCCTTCAGCTTGATTAAAATATTGTTAAAACTTTTCTCCAGGGCTCCAGTTAATTATTTCCTGCATTACTCTCGCTCAGCCTGTGCCAGCAGGAACTGCTGTGTGTGGCTTCCCATGTCCACAGTGATGTTTTCATCAGCCTGGGTGGATTTGGGAACACTTGGCATTAGCCAGCTCAGCAGCCAGTTTTAGCTCCCAGCTCTTTCATGGGTTTTGGGCCCTTTAAGGTCCCAGGACTTTTCTACTTTTTTGTGGTCTGGCTTGGAACACTCTCTGTTCAGCATTAGTTATTGAGGAAAGACGTGAACTCTTCCTTAGAAGCTTCATTTTACGTTATTTTGGTCTAGGTTACATTTTCTTTTTTTTTTTTTTAGGTTTTTATTTTTTTAATTTTTTTTTCCATTTATTTTTATTACTTGGAGGCTAATTACTTTACATCATTGCAGTGGTTTTTGTCATACATTGAAATGAATTAGCCATGGATTTACATGTATTCCCCATCCCGGTCCCCCCTCCCACCTCCCTCTCCACCTGATCCCTCTGGGTCTTCCCAGTGCACCAGGCCCGAGCACTTGTCTCATGCACCCAACCTGGGCTGGTGATCTGTTTCGCCCTAGATAATATACATGTTTCGATGCTGTTCTCTTGAAACATTCCACCCTCACCTTCTCCCACAGAGTCCATAAGTCTGTTCTATACATCTGAGTCTCTTTTTCTGTTTTGCATATAGGGTTATCATTACCATCTTTCTAAATTCCATATATATGTGTTAGTATACTGTAATGGTCTTTATCTTTCTGGCTTACTTCGCTCTGTATAATGGGCTCCAGTTTCACCCATCTCATTAGAACTGATTCAAATGAATTCTTTTTAATGGCTGAGTAATATTCCATGGTGTATATGTACCACAGCTTCCTCATCCATTCGTCTGCTGATGGACATCTAGGTTGCTTCCATGTCCTGGCTATTATAAACAGCACTCTCCCTGGGTGCGGCGCGCCTTTTCCCTCCGCGGCGGGAGGCCCAGGCAGCCAGAGGCTTGGGCGCAATCTCCCCGGATGCGGCGCGCCTTTTCCCTCCTCGTCGAGCGGCTCAGGCAGCCAGAGGCTTGGGCGCAATCTCCCCGTGTTCGGCGCGCTTTTTCCCTCCGCGGCCCCAGCGCGCGCCGCCAGTCGGGTCTCAGGAAGTCTTTAGATAGAAACCGGGGGCCTGTTTGCAGTGTGGGAGGGGGTGGCTTCTCTGTGGCTGAGTTTGCCCCTTTCCCCAACCCCCTGCCTCCTACCTCCAGCGGGGATGGGCCGGCTCTTCTCTGGACTTTCTCAGTCCCTTTGTTTTGCGAACCGCCAGCAGTGTGTTCGGGCTGGTTAATTTTGACCCTTGCCATCCCACAGTTTAAAAAAGCTCCCTCCGACTGCTCTCAGGGTCTTCTGGCCGGTCCTTACCCTAAGCAATGCCGCCCGCTCCTCTCCGTTCTGCCCCACTTGTCGCTGGCGGGTGTGGGCGTCTGGGGTACTTTTCTGCTGGGAGTTGCTTTTAGGCACTTAATCTGTGGGCCTTGTTTAATTTTTCCTCCCAGTTAGATTGCTGAAAACTTCCCCCAGTCCTGCCAGTGCAAGGGTTTCCTGGTGATTGGAAACTTCCTCTATTAAGACTCCCTTCCCGGGACGGGTCTCCGTCCGTAGCTCTTTTGACTCCTTTTTTATCTTTTATATTTTGTCCTACCTCCCTTGGAAGACAATGGGCTGCTTTTCTGGGCGCCTGATGTCCTCTGCTAGCGATCAGAAGTTGTTTTGTGAAATTTGCTCAGCGTTCAAATGTTCTTTCGATGAATTTGTAGGGGAGAAAGTGGTCTCCCCGTCCTATTCCTCTGCCATCTTGGCTCCTCCTAGGTTACATTTTCTAATTGTGTTTTTAACAATGCCTTCCAGTCATCTGTGATCTGGCCTTTGGATAGTCCACAGAAACACTTTGGCTATCCCTCCAACCACCAGTGAGCTCCTGCTGTACCCGGGAGGTAACACACCACCGACAAAGGACCGGAAGTTACCCAGACCCACATACGCATTCCAGCCTCTCAACCTCTGCTCACCTCCCCTCAACCTGCTCTCTTTCTACACCTTCCCGCTTCTTCTTAAGAGTCCGTACCTCCTCCCGTCCCCGATGCAAGGCCTCCCTGGCTTCTCCAACTTCCATGATCTCTTCTGAGCTGATCTTGGAGCTGATAGTCGACCATCCACATATATATCATACACTAAAATTATTGGGGTGGTTTTCAGAAAGTGCTGGTTGACCATGAACATTAGGGATGTCTGCTTCTCATAGTTTATTGCCTCATTTTTCCAAACATGTTCTTGAATAGTAAATAAATTGAAACTGGTATAAAGTTATATTTGAAATGAACCAGAGAAATTACATATTAATGAAATTCTTCAGTGAATTCTTTCATAAAGAAAAATTAGCCGTCTGATTTATTTTTTGTAAATATGAATCTCTTAATAACTGCTTAAAATAAGACAGAAACTAGATTTCCCAGAGGAAGTTAGAAGACTTTCATCAGCATATCTGACCTAACTGAATGAGTTTACTGGCTAATTTGTTTTTATTTTCCTTCCTCTTTTGTTGTTATCAATTTGATTTTTTGCTTTGCGAGGGTTGGTTAGATATACCTGTCTGCTTTTGGATCTTAAATACTGTGTATGTTTGTGCTGCTGGTCACTAGCTTGAGGGCTTCCACGGCTTGACAGCACCTCCTGCATCCTGTTTGGGAGGCTGTTTGAGAAATACTATTCTCTGCTTCTCTTGCCACCATGAGGCAGCCAAAAAAAAAGTCTTTAAGAGCATCTTGAGGTTCATAATATATGGTTCTGCCTTCTGAGACTCTAAATCCCATTGTCCTTGGAAGGATAAGCACCACTTAAAAATGAGAAATGAGACACAGTTTTTATTTCCTAACCTCAGATACCTCATCAAAAGCTGTAAGTTTGACTCACAAGTAATATATTGGCATGTTATTTTGGTGAGGCTGAACGGCGGGGGGTGGAAGGTGCTTTAACAAAGAACCCAGTGTTTACCACAACAAGTATCTTTTTTCCTTTCCCCACCTCCAAATTTTGACATAGGTCACATGGGATATACCAGCTAATTGACACTGCAGGTCACTTTATCAGATCCTAGGAAGTGCATCCAGCCAGCGGGCAGTCAGCAAACAAACAGGAGACCGCATAAAAGGAATCAAGGACAATGTTGAGATCTGCTGACAGAAGTTCTTGCCTTTGGACTTTTGATTATGTGACACTTCCTTATTTCAGCTCTGGTGCTAGCATATTGTAAGGGCTGGTGAACTTTCTTAAGGCTTTTCCCCAGCCCTCCCAATTAAGGTTTCTATGCCCTCTTTATTGTGTATCCAACAGATATTTTTTTGCCATTTTTAGAGGTATTAAGCCTCTGGGACTTGGTCTTGACACCACATCAGTTCTATCTGCTATAAATAGTTTATCTGGAGCCAAGACGAATGGTTTCTGAGATCACAGAGAGAAAGCTCACTTAGCATCCCACTGTATTTGCAGCCAGCCATCTAAATAGACCTCTTAAAATACCAAGGTAACGCTGAAGGTGACCCCTTTGGGAAGGTTTATGAGCACACCTGGACCCAATCTTCCTTGACAACCTTTGTCTCTGCTGCTTGAACCATATGATGTGCTCCCAGGTCTGCTTTTGGGGAGTCTGGCTCTTGTGTGATAGGAAGCACGTGTGTGCTCAGAGGCTAGCCTTTGCTTACTGCTGAGGATGCAAAGCTGAATGAAGCAACCCTGCCCTTCAAGAGCTCACACACTCGTTC